TACTGCTTGACAAACTTATGTCATGCCAGTGCCCCTTTCTACCACATCAGTGACAACAACAGTGTCAGCAGCACAAACTCTACACCAATAACTTCATACCTGCTTATCCAAACCCATTTACTTCACAGCAAGATCCAACCTTCATCCCAAATCCTCACTGGTCGAGGATGAAGAGGATGTTCAGATCCTTGCTGCCAAACTGCATCCCCTAGAAATATGTGCTGCCTCTCACTAGTGCTGGCCTGGAAGGTTACAACCAAGCTCCTGGTAAAGGTTTACTGGGAAAATAAAGAAATGGCAGCAGATTGTTCTCAGAAGTGGTAGTTTATCATTGGATTTGACAAGGAAACCATTAGCAGGGAGTGTGTATCCACAGGGGAGGTGAGGTAATGCAAGCAGAAGCATTAAGTTTCTGGGGGTCACATTTTCATAGCTGATGGCACAAAATGCAATTAGAGAGGGAAAACAAATTAGATTTAGTGACTTCCCATCCATAAACACGCACGCTCGAGGTGCATTTTACACCAGCTGCACAGTCAAAGGCAAAGTATTGAGTTTAATTTGAGAGACCAGCTCCTCTAGTCTTAGGCCAAGATAAGAAATCAAGGCCAGTTATCTCAATGTGGAAGAGATTAAAAATTAGAGATCTCTTTTTAAATATTCATAGAATGCTTGAAGCACTCCATGGATGTCAATGGATATCAGCAGTCCTTGGATAAGATTTCATTCTGAACTACAGACCCACTGAAGATTTTATATTCTGACTTAGTGAATGAGGACAAGGGAGGGACAATGGTTCTTCTGTTGCAGGTGAGCCAATTTCTGTCTGAAATGGATGTTTTTTCTGCAAATTTATTACATCATCCACTTCATTAAAGACACCAGGACCCACCTAACCTTTTTAATGTCCAGTACCCATATGATGCCTGACTTTATTCTTTGGCTTTAAAATGAAATAAATTGTTTAGATTTCTTATCCTAATCTATGATTTTGAGGAACTGGGGATCAATTTGCCAAATTCTGCTCTAACCTCTGCTTGAGCTTCAAGGAGCTACAGTAATGCTTCTTTCTGATAATGATGAGAAAAACTTTTCTTTTTCTCTAAAATCATGTTCAAGGAAAGAGCAGTTGAGTCAAAGTGATGCAATATTTATTTTTAGGCAGTTCTATTCTCAAGTACTTGCACTCCTTGTATTTTTAAAAAATGAAAAAATTAAACCAAAAAATTTACAATGCCATTAGTTTTTGTTTGTATGTGTGTTCTTTAATGTAACAGAAGAATGTGTCAATCATTTTTTGATCCTCTGGTTGCCTGCCACTGAGAAATGAAATTATATAAGGTACTTCTAAAACGGTTTGAATTTTGTCTAGAATAATAATTGTGAGTGAAGTTGTGTTATTTGAAAGGGGAAGAAGGGAAGAGATTGCTTTAACCTCCATTAGACTGAGGATTTCTAATGGAACTTTAACCACATAAGAGTTAAACGATTGGTTTAAGTTAGTTGTCTGTAAGAACAGTGAAGTGAAGGATGGTTTTACAAGGCTATTCATCTTGCCTTGGGATAGAGAACCAAACCAGCAGCTTGAATCCCATCAGGAGAATCTACCTGTTTCCAGTGAAGGAGTTACTTAACGAGGTATGATTTAATTAGTTGGCATTTGATGTCTGGCTGTGGGATAAATCCTACCAAAGTGAGCATTTTGAAAAGCCAGACTGAAACCACATCACAAAGAATATTCACACAGACAGGAAGGCATATATAAATCAGACCACTTTTCCTCCTTCACAGACATCATCACTCACAAATCATCTTTAATGCGTGTTATAAAAATAATTAATGGCCCAATTATAACTTGTTTTTTCCCACAGTACTTCAGACACCTAATGTGTGTAGGCATGCTCAGAGAATCCCAGAGAGTGCCCGTTTGCATCTGTAGGAGCCTGGAGAGCTTTGAAAATCTCGTCCTAAGGGGATTTAAAAATGCTGCCCTGTTTTTAGCCTTTATTCTGTGAACTTTCCTGCTGTCATGTTCATCCCTTGCACTAATGAAGTGGAGTGTGGCAGAACTAGTAAGAGCTTTTCTCCGAATGTGTTTTTGGAAGCTACAGAGCAGCGTTTACAAATTGCTTTTTGACTGGAATGATTCAACGACAGCGATTTGTTAACTCCAGTAATATATGTACAAATCTGGTTTGTTGAAGACTGGCTTTGCCAAACAAATCGCTGGCTTACAGTAACCTACTCAGCATTTATGTATTGCAAGGATGCAAAAGCTTGGACTACTTATGCAACAAGAAGAGGATGCTGGTAAATCCCATAATATTGCTTTTGTCTTTAAATAAACTGTGGTGTGAATTTGACATAGAAACAGACATCAAGCATGTTGCCTGATAATTTGGCTTGGATTCTAATCAACAGTGTGTTTACTCAAGTGAAACATGGTGATAAATACATCGAATCAGAGGCACATTGTGATTCACTGCAAAATCCTCAGTGTTAAATTGTTTTTTTTTCCCCTCCTAATTGAAACTCTTTCATTATTTGAACAGAGACAACAGAAAACAATTTCTTCAAGGAACCTTGTAAGTCAAACTCTGGATGTATCAAAGTGTATTCAATGAGCCTGAAGCTTCTATAACATTACTCGTAGAAAGAGAATTATTTAAAGATGAGCTGCATTGAAAATCCAAGGTTTGGTTTGGCCTTTATTTTTTTTGTTTACTTAAAAAAAAAATCTCTCCCATAAACTTTCTTCCTTTTAATTTTCTTTATAATTTTCCCTAATTTCATTTATTTGAAGGAGGCTTGGAATGCCACCATGGAGAAGTATGAAGGAAAGAAGTCTTCATGTAAGTCTTGTTTAGATTTCCTTTTTGATTGTTGCAGTGAAGATTTAGAATACTCATTTCAGAGCTGTTGCATTTTATTGCTTGAGCAAACCAATGCTTCTTTCCTTCCTTTCTTTCCTTTCCTTCCTTTCCTTCCTTCCCTCCTTCTTCCCTTCCTTCTTTCGTCCCTTTAAACCCTATAAATGCATGAGAAGCAAACACTTCTCACAGCAAACCCGCAGAAACCCAAATCCTGCTGAATATTCTTCCCCAGGCAGGCACAGCCTCTCCCATGGACTGAGGATCAGAAGGGAAGATGAGCCCTCGATGAAAGCACCCAGTGAGTCGCTGGGGCCGCTGTCCTGCTGTGCCCTGCAAGCAGCAAACCACAAATTCAGAAGTGCTCCAGTCCTCCTGTGACATTTATGACCAGATTTTCCAGCTTAGCTCACTGCCTCGTGTCCAATGTCCCGAGGAAAATCTACCCTTTAAAGTAATTCCTCTTGCATGACTTTCACCCGAGTCCATATGTTAGTGATCTCCGAGGGCTCCGAAAGCCCAGAGGATGTGTCAGGCTGAGGGATGAAGACAAAAGCTTGACCAGGGGAATTTGGGCTTATTTTGTTTCCTAAGTGGTAGCTGAGGCCTTTGAAAACCTTGTCTTCAATCTCAGTTCTCCATCATACAGCTGGAGAACTGGCCTTTCCTCTACCTTTTGCACATCCTGTTTGCTTAGAGTATAAATTCCTTAAGGCAGAGGTGGTGTCTTGTGTAGCACAATGGGGCCTCAATCCTGGTAAAGTTCATAAATTCTTCAGTAATGCAGATAGTGCAGAATCACCTCGGTTCCCACAAATGAGTATCATGCACAAAATGTATTGATTTTTACCCTCTTCATTGAGTTTCCCCTTTCTTTTCTCCTTTTCCCTCTGATCTTTTTGATGGATGAAGGAGATACAGATTTATGAGGTCAGAGGCCTAACAGAGAAAGACCAACTTAACTGTGCAACAGTAAAAAGAAATCTGAGCAAAATATCAATCTGCAAAGGAAAAAAAAAACTCAAAAGATAAATAAGAAGCTGAAGAAAGATCAAATTTGAAAGAAAACTCCCTTCTAAGGGAGATGGAAGATGAAAGGCAAAGGATCTTTAACATCAAAAAGAAATTCCCAAACAGAAGTCCAACATGATTTTGTTCTAAAGTAGTAAAGGGGAGACACAATTAAACAGACTTGATAGGAAAGATGGAGAGAGAGCTGGAGGGAATCATAAATCAACAGAAAACAATGATATGAAAGAGAAATGTAAAGTGAGTAGGAATTAAGAGGAAAGGAAAAGCCTTTGTAGGCTCAGAAACCCACACAGCAGAATACTGTTTTCAAGAGGCAGATCTCTACTTCCTTGAACCTTGATGGAAATACCTGGTATGAAAGTTTCAGCTGTTTTCTTACACATTTACTCTGTGATTTTAACTGGCAGCCCTCTTACCCACCAGTGTTTTGCTCCTACTTTCCCCCCTATAGTGTTTTCTCATTTATCGGGTAAGATTTTAGTGTAAGTGAATATCCATCACCACTGCCTTGTGTCGGACTCTGAAGAAAGAACACGATTTTTCTTATGATTCCAGGTAGGCTCACATGTTCTAGTGTTCATTACCGAGCTGATGGAACAATCTCTTGGCCCATTTCTTACCAGAGGAAATCTAGACGGCAACGTCTGTGCAGGAAATGTATTTTTATGGCAGAGTTCTTTCAGTGGTGACCCTACACGAGCAGGTGCTTGGCAATACACTAAAACCCATTTAAAAATGCCATCTTGCAAGAGCAGCTGATGGAAAGCTGGGCACACACTCCTGATAATATAGGCCAGAGGTAGCTGGGTAAATTTACTTCTTTGGATTTGAAATGAGGAGTCATACTCAGTGACCTTCCCAACTAAATCTGTGTGTAGAGGAATGCATATAAACCTGTATAAATGCCTGGTAGCCAACTTCCTCTACACACAAAAATATAGGAATTTTGTATACATATAATTCAGAGCAATTTTCAAGGCAATTTTCTATCTCTGCTATCATTCGCAGTGTGAATAAATGTCCCAGCAGTGGGTAAATCATAATCCTTACTTTCTGTGGAAAAAAAAAAATAAAAATCCCATTTTCTTTTGTAAAATGTTTGCTAAAGACCTTGATTTATTCTTATGCAGACATGGAAAGTGGAGATCTGCCTGTAACCTGTGAAGAGCAGAAAATGAATGTTAAAGAATGCATGATGGGTCCCAGTTAGGATAAAATATTAATAATGTGAGTAGGGCTGTGTGGATATTGCAAGCCTGCTGCTATCTAATTAGAGCACATTGTCTCCTAGCAAAGTTATAATACAAATGTTTCTTTTTTGTATTCCTAAATTCTCTGCTTCTCACCTCCAAAGTGGCTGTGAAAATTTAGCATCTTTGCCTTTTTGTTAAAAAAAAAACAAACGAGCAAATAATTTTTTAATTTGGTACCAGCAAGGGCACAGTGGAGGTCAGCCCTCCTGGAAGTTCAAAATATGACTTCCAGAGAGGTGTTTTTTTTTATTTTCCTTTTTTTTTTTTTTTTTTTTTTTTTTTTTTTTTTTTTTAATTCTCTTTTCTTTCCCCCCTCCCCCCTTTTTTCCCTTTTCTTTTCTTTTCTTCTTTTTTTCTCCTTTTTTTTTCTTTTTTTTTTTTCCTGCTATAACACAAGATAAATGAAAATGAGTGTTGAAATGTGGAAGAGAAATGGGGTGTTTTTTTGGAATTGGTGTCTTTCTAAGCATCCTACTTACTAAAAGCAAAACCAGTGGACATGTCAGCACATGGGTTGCTTGTAAGCCTGTCCCAGGACCTTGGTCTTGCAGGATGCTCTAAATGTCTGGAATTTGGATCGATGTCTTGTTGTCAGGTTCAAAAACCATCTCAAGTTTCACTTGACTCTGTCAAGTCCTCCTCTTTATTTGTTAACAATTTATAATAATTTTAGATCTTTTAGGAAGAAATTCTTCCCTGTGAGGGTGGGGAGGCCCTGGCACAGGTTGTCCAGAGAAGCTGTGGCTGCCCCTGGAAGTGTCCAAGGCCAGGTTGGATGGGGCTTGGAGCAACCTGAGCTAGTGGAAGGTGTCCCTGCCCATGGCAGGGGGTCAGAACAAGATGAGCTGTCACCTGAACATGCCCATTTCTCTGGATAGGAACATACAGGTGAAAAGACTGTTTTTTCTAAATTTCTCAATTACAGATAAGAAGTTAGGTAGGATCTGTGTCTGTTCTTCACAAAAACTCTGACCTAACCCTAGGGTAGGGGGACTGTGTCTAAAACGAGTGTTTGTGAAAAGGGAAGGGTCCAAGCACTTGAAATCCAAGCTCACACTTTTAATATTGACAACAATTGGTGTTTAAAAGTCAAGAGCCAGATTCAAAGATACAGCAAACTTGGTTGATAAATAATCTTTTAAAACTAGACATTTGCTTTCTTGCCCTGCAATTGCATCTGGACTACATTTGCAATTTTTCTCTTTCTTGTCACAGTATTTTCTCATTTCCTCAATGCCACACTTGACATGCCTTGATTTCACCTGCTGGGACCCTGCTCTCAAAAGTGTCAGCACCTCTGCAGTGTGATCCTACACAGGGCACAGTGGGACCCAAGATGAGAAATGCTTTATCAATGTACAATTATAATTATTGTAGTCAAAGTTCCTTGCACATCTGCCAGTGCAAATCTTGCATCAGGGTTTTTTTCAGAAGGTCATTTTCCTTTCACCACCTCACATGAGCATTTCACACAAGACTGCTTTCTCCTTCACAAGGTATGGCAGGGAATGTTTCAGGCCTTGCCAGATGGCCACTACTACAGGGCTGGGAATACTTAGATGGCAGTTTCTCAGTTAAATTTCTGTTTCTGTCAGGTCTTTCCAACCAGCCCAGTCAGTGAATTCCTTTCTCCCTCTTTGATAGTAGTATTCAAGTACTTTAAAACAAGAGACTAGACTCTATCTTTACTACAAAGCCTGAGTATATGTAATAATAAATCACAAGCATATTTTGGTTTGCATCTTCTATGTAAGGATGCAAAGAATTTCACAAGAAATCTTCTGTTTGAAGCGATGCTCATGAAAGTGTTAACTTGAAAAACTCAGCCTTAAAAAAGAAACTGCTGGGAATTTGCCTATGATGAATGTAGGGCAAGATCAGCCATTGAGACTTTACAGTATTTCTCACATGATCTATTAAATGTGGTTGTCATGTCCCATCTGACATGATCTCATTTCTAACTTTGACTTTGTTGGTGACAGTCAGGGCTTCTCAAGTAATTGAAGACAGTCTCAGCCCCTGGCACTGACTGTACCTTCTAGGAAAGCATCTGGCATTTTGATTGAAGACCCTACATGAATCACAATCTACTCTCACCAGTGAAGGATTTTGTCATATGAATGAGCAAGAATGTCCTGTTAATGAACCCCGATTATTAGATTATTTTTTTTTTGTAAGAATAAAACAAAACGCAGATAATCAGCTGTGTGGCAGGAAGCACTCAGACTCCAGACCTTGCTCAGAGCATCCCAAACCTTTTTGCACTCTCTGATGAGGAAAACACCCAAATGTCTGTTCACAGTGTTTGTTTCTTGGAACTGGGGACTCTCTGATTCCTATGGTGACAAGTAAGAGTTCAGCTCACTTGTTATCCATGCTAGTCTGGGAACACTTTGCAGCAAAATGTGTGACTTTGTTCATTAGCATCCCAGTCATGAGAGTCATCTTTCTCATTATCATTCTGACAAGGATATTTGAACAGGTGTCTTCTCTGGAGGGACATGACAAATCTTCATCCCTTACAGATACAATATTCATTAGACATTTCTTTTTCATTCAGTATTGCATTTACCTTCTGTCATGAACCAGCAGTTTTTAATTCTTGGTTTCCCACAGCTCTTTATCTTCTCACAGACTGGAATGAAGTACATGCCTTCCTGATCCAGCAGAGGCTGGTCTATCTAGTGAACTGGAAGAAACATGTCTAAATCAGGATTCAGCTGAAAAGTAGGGCTTCCTGTAGCTATTGCAACACTGCACTGAATTTTTGTGTTGTTGGGAAGACCTAAGATGTTATTTTGTTTTGGTGCTGCTTTGTTTCGTATAAAATGAACCAGACAACTGTTTCTTTACTACCTCTGCTCAGATGGTGTCTGTTCACCATACATTAAAAGGGTCTTTCCTCCTCCTAGTAGGTGTCAAAACAACTCTATGTACTCCTTTAGGATTGTGAATTTTCAAGGACATGAGATGCTCCAGATGATGACCTACGTTTTTGGCAGAAATCCTTCTCTCTCCTGACTTTGGGTGCTGAGGTTCCTCATGTGGACACTTTAGCAAGTGCTCACAGTCAAATGGTCTGAGCTGTGGTTATTGGGGAACCCTGTTTGCTATTCTAGCTATTTATCTGAGGTGTGGTCCAGGGGACCAAAAATCAGAGCTCGAGTTCCCATATGTACAGACCATAATAGGGGTAGGTCAATCTTTCAGTCTCTGTGTAAAACTGAGTTACTAATGGTGAAACCCATCCAAAGCATTTTGAAGGACAGAGCAGTGGGTGTAGAAACTAATCTGAATTAGCTGAACTCAATGCCTGGTCCTGCTTTGTTCTGAGATATTGTTCCACCCAAAGAGCAGATTTCTGACATGAAAGTGTATTTAATTTCTAACTTTTAAAGTACTGAGAATCTGAACAAACACTGTTCTGGGTTTGAGTGGTAAGGTTTTGGTAGCAGGGGGATTACAGATGTGGCTTCTGTGAGAAACCACTGGAAGCTTCCCCCATGTCCATGGAGCCAATTGCAGCCAGCTCCAGGAGAGACCTGCTGCTGGGCAAGGCTGAGCCTGCCAGTAGCACATCTGGGAAAATGATTTTAAGAATAGGAGAAAAAAAACCTGCTCTGGAACTGCAGCTGAAGAGAGGAGTGAAAATATGTGTGATTAACAACTTTCCAGAGACCAAAGGCTGCGCAGCAGGAGGGGCATAAGGTGCTCCAGGTGCCAGAGCTGAGGTTCTCCTGTAGCCTGTGGTGAGGCAGCCGTGCCCCTGCAGGCCAGGGAGGAGCAGAGATCCACCTGCAGCCCCTGGAGGACCGTGCACCGGAGTAGGGGGATGCCTGAAGGAGGGTGTGACCACGTGGGAAGCCCATGCTGGAGCAGGATCCTGGCAGGAGCTGTGGCCCCATGAAGAGAGGAGCCCACACAGGAGCAGCTTTGCTGGCAGGACTTGTGACCCCGTGGGAGGGACTCACGCAGGAGCAATTCCTGAAGGACTGTAACCCATGGGAAAGACCCACATTGAAGGTCGAGGAGGACTGTCTCCCATGAGAGGGACCCTATGGAGCAGGGGAAGAATGTGAGGATTCCTCCCCCAGAGAAGAAGGAGCGACAGAGACAACGTGATGAACTGACCCCAGTCCCTATTCCCCATCCCCCTGTGCCACGAGGAGGAGGGGGAGAATTTGGGAGTGAAGCAGAGTGCAGGAAGAAGGGAGGGTTGGAGAGAAGGTGTTTTAAGATTTGGTTTTATTTCTCATTACCCCACTCTGATCTGATGGGCAATAATTTAAACCAGTTTCCCCAGTGACCATGATGGTAAGTGCTGAGTGAGAGGCATCCAAGGCACAGCAGAGAACAAAGCAGAAAGGGTGACTGGGTTGCTTTTCTTCTTCATTATCTGCTTTCAGCATGTAGTGAGAAAGCTCAGTCTACAGATTCACTTGTGTCTCTTTTCCCTTCCTCAGAGAAAGCCTCAGAAAAGTCTGAGATTTTTTTTCATTTTCTTTTTTAAAATTTGTGATTTTACTCAGGAATATGACAAAATGCTGCCCCTGTGGAATTAGCCTCTTTCAGAGACCAGTGTTACCAAAGTGAAAGAAGTTACAGCTCAAGCACATATTTATGACAATAATAATAAATAAAAAAACCCCTGAACTTGCTAAACCATGTGGGAGAAACAGACTTTAATAAGGACATAGACTCAAGTCTGCCAATTCCCTGCTTGAATTTCTCTCAATGCCAGCAAAGCACACTTGTGTTGAACTTTGTCAACTGCATGGAGTTCAGTGCAGGATGAGCTTTGCACTAATCTTCAAAATTGGGAATGACCTTAACATTTTCTGTTAGGTGAGCTCAGACACAAATACAGGAATTGTTTGAATATCGTACAATTACCTCCACTCTCTTGCATGAGAGTGTGTGCACACAAATAAATAAAAAAGTCCTTATGTTTTAAGGAGGCTGTGGAAGCTTTTTTTCAGTGCTAGGCTGACCATTCGAGTGCTTAATTTCCTATAGAGGCAATCGAATTTTGCCTGCTTTTAAATCCCCCTGCTCCTTTCCAGCTTCCTCTGCCTCACTTCACATTGTCTCCAAGCAAACAACATATTTCTGTCTTCTGCATTTGATTATGTATACAATGAATATTGAAGCAGGAGAATATAAAAGACATGAAGACTGAACAAAGAATTCAGTAAGGCTTTCCATGGTTTCAGACAAACCAACCAGCTGATTACTCTGTATCACAACTACGTTTCGACCTTGTGTTCCCAAAAAGCAGGGAATCCATTAAAGCAGAAAAGCCTCAACAAAAAATTGTGACCTTTTCCCTGATCCTTTCAGATGTAGCACCACCAGTCTTGCTTCAGGGCTCTGCAAAAATGTCAGGACCTGTCTGCACTGATCATATTGTAAACCCAACACCTTCCTTTGTTAGTTCCTCCTAGTGCCAGTACACCATTGAGTAGTTCCAAAAGTGCAAGGAATACATCTGATAAGTCCAGTAACCTGAGCAACAGTCTCTAATTCTACCTGGCATATAAGAATATACTTAATTTCTCCTTCTGCCACAAATCATAGAATCATATGCTTAACTCAGAGACCCATCAAAGGCAAGTACTGTGAATTGCAGGCCTTTATACTCAACTGAAAGCTCATGACCTTCAGAAAAGAAATCTAAGTTTCCATTTAAGCTTTTTTTGCTCTTTTTTTATTGAGGACTGAGAAGTGATTTGTGACACACAAGTGAATGTCAACTCTTATGAATTAATTAACCATAGGTGAATCAAGAGAATTCATGCTGTAAAGTGTACATTTATTGAATCAGCATCTCCATCCTATTCTTCTTTAATCATTTGTATGAGTGGTTGCAAGTGTATAATACCTTCTTTAGTTTCTTTTTTTGAGGTATTATCTGATCTGTTTTCTCTTAAAACTCTTGAGTGACATTTCCTTTCAATAAGGGTAATTGTTGTTGCTCTGTAAGTCTAAAAGAGAATGGAAAAGTACTCACTTTGAAGAGTCAAAGGTCTGTTTCTTAAAGCACCACCAACACATCATCCCGGTTCACTCAGGGATGAATAATGAATACTGTTGGAAATGAAGTGAATGTTAAAATACATAATAGAAAAAGGGAAATTCAGAGAGGGAGAGTCAAAAAGAACAGGCAGAGGCCACTGTCACTTTTGCACTGAGACTTGATTGTGACAACAATAGGTTTGCCCCTTACAAAGATAATGCAAGTCCCAGCTTGGCAAAGCTTTCCAATACCTCTTAACTTTAAGCTGGAGTCCTCATGTTTTTTTCTCCCAGTGAGGGAGAATAATCAGGCATTAAAGCTAAGTGAGTGTCTGACTATGACATCTTGGCCATATAGAGTGCCCTGGTATGAGCTGTGAGGAGACCATTTGATATTTCTCTATGCAGCTCATCTATAGACTTGATATTTAGGCAAGTGCTTGTTCAACATTTTCAAGAACACTCAAATACCAACAAACTCTGGATGCAAATATCTTGGATGGACCCAGGTTTGGTTTTCTCATTTCCCAAGCTGGTTAGGTAAAACAGTCCATGTGAATTTATACTGAAATATGTTTAATATATCTTAAGGTCCTCATAGTTAATTGAAATAATTTATAAAATGCCAATGTAGCCAAAGAAACCACTAAGTCAGTTGTGGGCAACAAGCTACAAGGAAAATGATGGAACAAGTGACTGTAAAAGCTGAATATGTCCATATGGGATTATATTCAATGAAATAATGTTAATTGTAATATGTTATATCACAATAACCTGTTAATTAAAATACAGCTTAATTAAAAAGAAAATATTGCCACAGTTGTTTCTTCTGGTGAAAGAACTAAAACCTGATGATAGTTCAAAAACAAGTAGAAGAAAACAGAGTGAGTTATGAGCTGGATTCATCCTTGGCTGCATATTGAGGTCAATGGCTTTCCAAGGAAAGTTTCCTACATGGAGTTGTGCTTGCTTGATTCTACTGCTATATTTACCACCTTTGTGTGTCCACAGAAGGGCATCAAAGCTGGAGAAGGCTCTGAAGCACAAGTCTGATGAGGAGCAGCTGAGGGAGTTGGGGGGACTCAGCCTGGAGAAAAAAGTAGCTGAAGGGAGACATTATGAATTCCTACAGCTCCCTGACAGGAGGCTGTAGCCAGGTGGGAGTTGGTCTTTTCTCCCTGTTAACAAGTGACAGGACAAGAGGAAATAACCTCAAGCAGTGTCAGCAAAAGCGTAGATTGGATATTAAGAAACTTCCTTCACTAAAAGGGGTGTCCAGCCCTGGCACAGCTGCTCAGGGCAGTGGTGGAGTCCCCATCCCTGGAGGGATTTAAAAACCCTGTGAATGTGACACTTGGGGTTTAGTGGTGGCATTGACAGTGCTGGGGAAATGGTTGGACTTGATCATATTAGAGGTCTTTTCCAATCTAAGTGATTCTATGATACTAATTCCTTATTATTTGTCTTAGTACCATGAAACTGCAGTGCCAGAAGAGGATTCTCCTGTGTTAGGTCATGTGGAAACACACACTGAAAAGGAAGATCTTCCCTAAAGAATTTAAATATTGAAAGATATGAAAGACAAACGAATACAATTACCCTGGGAACTAGAGGAAAAGAAAGGGCTAGAACTTTTCGGTACGACAGGACATAGTCTCAGGAGGAC